TATGGTGGAATGGGTCTGAAGAAGCCCATATTCAAACCCAGAACATTCTTGCTTTGTTCTGGTGAGTGTGCTTGGAAGGCCACTCACTGGTCTTTGCGTGAACAACCTCTAGCGTGTTCTGGTGGGGACGTCTGGGCACTGATGCTCCACCACACGCCCCCAGATGAAGCGGAAGTAATTAAGTAAGTGGATGGAAGTTAAGCTACAATTCCTGGGTTGACACTGAACATTCTGCAGGTTTTAGACGTCACTAAATCAAGGAGATTCAACATACTAACTAAAACCTGCATACACTGTATTTTGATTAAATAAAGTTTAAAGTAGCAATATGTAGGATTTTCATGTCAAGTCATCACTAAATGGCCCCTAATATGTCAAAATGTATTGATAAAACATGCTCTTTTCAAATACTTCTTTAACTGATAACAGTAGTTCAGAAATATTTAATTTCAAAATTAGTTTTACAGCCCGTAAATCTTGTAATCGTTTTGATTTTGATGTCCCGCCCTCCACTGTTAAACCAATCAGAAAGTCTGTGATCCAGGTTGCCAGAACTCACCGCGTGAAGCTGATCTCACTGTAACAGTAACATGTGGCCGCAAAACTAAAAAAGGTCTCATTATGATTCTCGAATCATTAATAACAAAACAAGGAATAAAACAATTGTGAAAAAGGTGCTTGTTATAGATTTGTTGTTGACAAAACTCTTGTCTATTCAGATAATATGTTCCCAGCTGAATATCTGGTAACCTGAGTCAGGGAGAGTGGAAGAGGTTGCAGTACCACTTTTGGCCATATTTTTTTTACATACTACTCCAACAAATATAAATGTGCCCTTTAAGTCACATGTAAAGTTCAGCATCTTACGTGCACATGAGCAAGGAACAAAAGCAGATATTGTGGGCAGTGCACTCCACTATCAGCATTCTCCCGTCAACGGCCCCACTTGTCACATGTCTAGCACAGTAATGCCAGCGTGTGTTAACAGCCATGGAACGATCTGATTACAATTTACAGTTAGCGGCAGAGCAGCCATCGACCTGCACTGGATCCATGCACAAACTGGGTGCTTCTAAAAACCACTTGTTCTGTTCTACGAGGCTCTGGCTGTATGTGCTGCAGGTGCGTGTCACACAGGAAGCTCGAGAAGCCACACATCAGAGCTGAGGGGGAGGGACTGCATCCTCGACTCCTGATTATTACATGTAATCAGTGCAGGCCCGGGCGGTCTGAGGGCCAGAGAACCGTGCAGACACCTCCACACAGAGTCACGCTCCCAAAAGCCCTGCATATTTAAGCCATAGAGCTGATGAAGGAGACAGGGCGGCTGGATAAGAAATCAGTGGACTAAAAAAAGTCACTCCCACACAAGTCCAGCTGCAATTTTAATGACGCCCCATCAGCCTCTTTTATAATTAAATATTCCAGCCTCCATTTTAATCATCAGATTTGAGATTAGCGTCCGCCCATGGCTCAAACCTCAGCCCAGACCACACAGATGAGCACAGGCAGGCATCGACAGCATCCAACTCGGAGCTTTCCACTTGATCGTCTTCAAGTAAATCGTCTTCATACAAAAAGGTCAAACCGGTCCACTGGAGCAACATCCAATTAGTGTCGAGTGTGACTAATTATAATCTGACAAAAGTGTGAAATGAAGTCAGAAACCCCAGACAGAAGCTAATTATAGTAGATTGAAACACTTCATTAAGCAAACTATAAAGCAAAGAGAAGTTCAGCATCTGAATGCAAAAGGTCTCAAAGATGAAACAGCAATTTGACAGTCGACACAATCCATTTTACAATATTCTTTTCTGTAAATCCAAGCCTCTCAGAAAGAACAATTATGCCTCGTGAGATTTCATAATATAAAAATTGATTAATTTTTGTTTTTTCGGCCATCAGAAAAACCTAATTAGACTATTTATTTGTCATTCATATTTTAGATCGTGAAATAATATCCTCAGTAGAAAATATATGACGGAACAAGTATGAAGAGTAAACAATACAATTGGCCTGTCCTATCCCTATGCGACCACCAGAGGGAGATGTATAAAAAAATCCCCAAAATGTTACAATTTTTGGCTAAAAACACAGCCATACGATAGCAAAAGAATACAATTTCACTTAAGAAATTGCCAAAACTAATTGTTTTGGCCAGTATGTTTGTTTTGAAAGGATGTGATGTCACTGTAGTACAATGACGTCATCCCATCGCAGGACTGAGAAATGGTTTTTTAAACAGAAAGGGGCGGAGTTTGTGCCAGAAGTGCCTAATATTAGCGTGGAAGGACAACAACAAGTCTCTTTTGGATTAGGCACAAAGTTGAAACATGGTTAAAAGACCACAAAAAGAATACGTTTGGCATAATCTTTCTCCTTTAAAACAATGTCATGCTGTCACTGGGTCATCATGTGTTAACAAATGTCCAACAATAAAAAAACATCCAAATTAAACTCTGCTTGTTACAATGCAATGTGGCGATTTAACCTTTGTACTTTACACCTTGTCTGCACAGAATTGAAGCAAACCAGATTTTCTTACAACTAGACTAAGCAAACATGACAAATACTACAGGCATAAACATGTATTTGTTCTCATATGAAGTGAATCCAAGTGAATAATGAAAGGTCGAGGTGAGAGTTTGGCAAAAAAGGAGCAATGTGCGCAGTTAAACTTCAGATGAAACTGAGCTGAAATACGTCAAAAACTCTCAAGATTAGCAATATAAATAAAACAAACCCACAAATATGCAGGAATTCGAAATTGCATAGCTGTGAAAGATTGTATTTTTTTCTAATCAGGTGTTTCGGAGTATTTTTTTTTTTTTAGTCACGGCCATAAACATTACCTAGCTCCATACCGTTAGCATGGTTTCTATACGTGACACATTCAAGCAGGGATAGAAGAGGGAACGCAATATTCTCTGACAGACTTTGCGATTAGATGCACAATGTATGGTTTGATTTAATTCAGTTTAAAAAGCATTTCTGAGGGAAGACAGAATTATGAACGGATACAACACAATCCCAGGCCTTTTATAAATTACAGATTTTTTTTTTTTTTACCTTTTTAAAGTTACTGCACAACAATTCCTCCATCAAACTCTATCAACTACTAAACAAAATTGTGTACATAATGTGATACACTATGAGGGACTTCAAATTAAGGCTCTTTTTGGTGTCTTAGAAATTAAATTAACACAAGCCAATAATAGTTAAATGTATCAGTTTAGAATGGTGTATAATATCACCAGGTTATTTATTTACCAAGAAAGCTTATTTGGTTGTTTTCAAAAGAGGAATTTAATAACTGTCTTTGAAATTACAATACTAATGGTTGCTATTTGAAAATGACAAAGTGATAAATCTTGCAGCCCTATAGACACTGCCACTAATATATACAAGACATACCAATCATTTCAGTCTGCATATTCTTGTCTTTACCATAGACAGTGGTCTGTACAAACAGGCCTGTCACAATAATTACTATAATATTAATCGTCTATACATTTTGTAGATGTCTATGAGGTTTTAGTGGTTGATGGTTAGATTCTATCCATTCAGGCTTTTTCATGCGTTTGCTATATTGTATTAGCATAATCAGCATGACTTGTAAATAGCTTCATTTTATTCATTTTCTCAATCAATATTTTGTCTATGGATGTACAGATACATTTCTGGTATGGTATATTAGTGGCGATGTGTGAATATTATTGAACTGGGTATTGATTTAATAATATTGGTTTAGCTAATGCCTTGATTATGCCTTTCAGTTTATGTAATAAAACTTTTATTCTTTTATTCAAATAGAGTTGTTCTGTCGTTATTCTATGATAAATAAAAAAAATTAAAAACAAATTTAGTAATAATACAGCTGTGAATTTTTTTTTTCCCAAGCCCCTGAGCCACAGGATTGAGATTGGTCTCAGACAATTGGTTCATCTCTATATTGTCCATCAAAATTAGTTATGGTGACAAGCCTATGTGCAAGAGGTGTCAAGAAGCTAAGTGCTGAGGCCCACGGGGGTGAGAGCAGTGGACCTCTGTGGAGCAGCAGATGGATCTCCTGCTTGTGGCCAACAATTCTCTTCTCCCTGCCGGAGCATCTCTCTGACAGATGGAGCCCAGATCCTGGACCAAGCTAATCTCCAGCACTCCTTCACTTAAAAGGCACAAACACCTATGCAACCCCCTAGACCACCACACACCACCCACACAATCCAAAACAAGCCAATATTCTCACGTGTCTGGGCTAATACATCACAAAGTTGCATCTCCTATAGGCTATTACATGGAATAGACATCCACTTGCAATAGATCTACAGCAGAGAAGAACAAAGAAGGAGGACATTGTGAGGCAGATCTTATGAAGTTGCAGGTTTTATATGACTAGTGCACAAGGATATATTCAGTATTTCCAACATTGCACTACAGGCTGTCACTTTTGTCGATCAGGCCAGAGCAAAACATGCAGATACCAAATGCCTCCTCCCTCGCTTGCTTGCTTTACCGGGTCCTGACCACGTCCGCGCTTGGAGGAGCCAAAGTTGACATGTCGACAATTCACACCAACTGTAAACGAGTTTTGGAATGTCAGATGATATTCGCCCGCTATGCCCAACTAAGCACGAGAAAATCGGCTTTTAATGATTAGAGGCTGCGGAAAGGCACCGGTCGACAGTTTAGCGAATGCATTTATAGCCTTTAAACACGGCGCTCTCTGTTGTTGAAGCGAAGGCAGAGTAAATAAAACAGGCTTTTCTCCAGCGACCTCACTGTTCGACAGACAACCGTCCGTGCAGGAGTCTAAAGCAACATTTGATAGAACAAACAGAACTACAGGCTACTTTATCATGCACTAAGTAGACAAATGCATTCAGACAGCGTCGCCAGCCGTGTGCACAAGGCCGAAAACAACATGCACGAACAACCGACAAGAGTTAACGACGTGGCATAAGAACAACATGAAACAATGTTCTTGTGTCTGAAATACTTACGCTTTTAGTGGATTCTGAATGACAGCCGCCATTTTGCTACAATGTAACGCAATATCGGTGTCTTGCAGTTCTGAGGGAAACCTACAGGCGCTGACCAATCACAGAGCAGCCTGGATCCGTGAACCAATGGGCTGCGGACAAACGCGGATAGGGCGTGGCTTCAAGAGCTAAACTGTCAAAAATGATTTTAAAGGGTTTTCCCTTGTATCCCAAATGTACACAGCTCAACTTCTCAACTTCTGAGAAAGAGGCCTCACTCCATACAATGTCCCGCTACTGCAACTAGGACCACAGACAGAATGAATGCGACAGAATGGAAGATTGTGCTTAATTATTTATTAAAATAATTATTAATCATTTATTATAATCAATAAGCACCACGCAAATATTTCCCTCACTTGTTCTGGAGCTGCTGTGATAGAGGAATGGCATGCACACAAGTGTCTTCCTCCTACATACAATGAGTGGTTTCACAAAGGTCTACACAGAAATACACAGCAAAGACATGGAGGCGATGTGAGCGTATGCGTCCACAGATGGATCTGATACATCTTTAATCTGATGCAATGCATCCAACTTTGTACTCACACATTAATGTTTCAAGTTAATTTTGTTTGAATCCAGCATTCTCGTTCACTGAGTGTCAACACCATTTCTTTCACAAAAACAAATGTATCATTAACAAGGGAATGAACAGCAGCTCTAGAAATCCGTTTTTTTTTCTCTAGTGTGCAATATGCAAAATTCAGACAGACAAAATTTAGTTATTTTTAGACATACATCAGGTTTTTGGGCCAAGGGGAGATTTACCTACAAAGCTTTAGAGTGATCAAAACAACTATGGTGACAAAATAGACAATACCTGATTTACTACTGAGAGCAGTATTCATGCATATGACAAAATAAGTGATTGTGAACGAAAAAAATATTAAAGCTTTCCATTGCTTAACGTGTTTATGCTTTGTGGCCACATTCAAAACATCTGTCAGCATATTTTTGATTGACCATAGACAACAAGGTGATAACATATGAAAGACAATCACTACAAAGTATAATACTAGTACTATTTAAAAACAATTCAATACTGTAGAGCAGTAACAGAAGAACGTATATTTCATCTTGTGACTAATCCTTATCCTGTCTTGTTCTTTGAGACCCGTAAATGAGGTGAAATGCAGGATTTTCTGGGTTTATGTAACATTAAGACAACCAACAAAAGTAAAATACATACAAACAAATGAATGAAACACAGGTAAGATGCAGCTTGATGAGGGCGTATACAGAGAATCCTCTGAATCAACACAAGGCCTTGGATCTCTGTCAAACTCTCATGCACGCCAGAGATGCTAAAAAATTACTCTAAGATTAATAACCCTAAATGTTTTTTTTTCTTTGATACATAAATAACATCTTAAATGTACACTCCTCTATATGCAGTTCTATATTTTCATACAACCAAGATGATCAAATACTATTAACACAGTGACCTGAATGATTTTGGCAGACCAGATATCCACTGGAGTGAGCAAAGTCCAATCGATGACATAAAAACAGCAGAATATCAGGTTAGGGGCCATGGTAAGCAACAGCCTATAACAGCTGAAGAGGCTTAGTGCAAAAACTATATGTTGCAAAACGACATGCAAGTATCTGCGGGGATCTGCATGAATATAAAAGTTCTCCTTGCCATTGCAATACGACATTTGGAAACATTACTTGAATCAACTCACATAAAGAATAAACCTATTCTAACCAACCCGTCAGGGTTTTGAGGAAAACTATATATGTTTTTTTTACTTTTTGCTGTAGAAAAAAACAGAAGTGTGAAATTGGGTTTGAGAGGACTAAAATCATCTCTTTGAATTCAGAGTGATACTTTGCCTTTCGCACTCAACATAACACACATATTCCGGTAATTCTGAAAGGCCACAGAAAGTCTTAAAACACAAAATCCTACATACACTGCGATTCATTCTTTCCTTCCACGGAAGAAAGACAGAACCGTAGTTTGGGAGGTTTGACAGAGTGAGTGGTTCTCTGGTGACCTGAAGAGCAAAGGCCTTTTGTTAAAGTTCACCAGATTTCTGGTTGCAGCCCATGCACACACGCACAGGATGGTCCCAGCCACGGGAGGGCACCGGGCGGCGCTCAGGGGAGCAGTCGTCACACACTCCTTGGCCACACGCACGGCAGTGATGCTTGGACAGCTTGGCAGTGAAGTCTCTCTGGCAGCTGTGACAGGACAAAATGTCCTGGTCAGGCACCCAGTAGGCAGGGCGAGCCGCATCCTTTACCAGACCTGTGAAGTACAAATACATGTGTTAACTTTCAGATCTACAGATGTCTGTTTCCTGATGATTAAGGAATCTCAGGAGGCCAAAACACACAACAACAATGACAGTTTTTGATTTTTGCGCAAGTACTAAAAGGTAAAAATAATAATATAATACCCTTCTTACTATAAAATATATTTGAGGTATACAGTTTGTTTATCACAAAAGGTTCCCAAACAGGGTCAGTGGCACAATCTATATTTGCCTTTCTTGCACCTGCTTGACAGGTCGAAGAGTTGCAATTACAATAAATATCACAGGGGGGCAGTGATTCCTCACTTTCAATCAGAATCAGTCAATACTTTTGCGTAACAGGTATAGCACTCACCAAGAGGGATGTCTATGGCAGTGACCACAACTCCTAAGGTGTTAGTTACGGCTTCACCCACTTTCCTGGCAAGGTTACCACCTTCATCCTCCTCAGGCTCAATCTTAGGCACTTCTAGACATGGGAGCACAGAGAAACACATGAAGGACATCAACATTTCCCCAAGTGTAAACGATTAGAAAACAGTGTAGTAGGGCTTCACACCTGCAAATGAATCTCTCTGATCATAGCAGACATCACAGACTCGGACCGGAGCCAGGCCCCAGCCTCTCTCTGGGACTGGGGCTGCTTTGGAAGAGCAGCCATCACAGAAGCCCTCCCCACAGGCCCTGCAGTGATGCTTGGTGTCGTTGCCCTGGAAGACTTCGTGACATTTATGGCACACCTTGTACAGAACAAAAACATATTAGATTATATAACAGACTATTTTTGAGAGACCTGCAGAGTTTTATCTTGGGTCAAGATAACATATTCTGTTTTAGAACAAACTGACCACAAATGGTAAGCAATGTTTGGATTTTCATCGTGCCAACTTGGCTGCCTCCAAGTGGAACTAACTGAGTCACTCACCATGATAAGGGAGTTGGGTTTCCAGTAGGCCGGAGCGATCTGATCCGTCAGCCAAGATGTGACAGCCTTGGTAGGTTTTACACTGAGCTCCGACACAGACTGAGCCACAAGATTAACGCCATCGAGCAAACGCTGAGCAGCATAGCTATTGTCCTTTAAAAATCCCTCTGACTGAAATATCAAAATGTACATTGGCAATAAATTACTACTGCAATATATCAATGTAAACATGCATATTGACTACTTACTCCTGGCCACACATGCTGGATTTCTGTGCGAACAACTGTATCCACAGGATCCTGGTTTCCGTACCAATACTGGCGACTCCGATAGATCACTCCACAATGGGGACATTCAATGACATACCTGCACAAGGCAAGATTTAGTAACAAACTTTGACAGAAAGATATGCAATTGGTAGGGCTGTAACAACCAATTATTTTAGTTGCCCACTAGTGAGCAATTACTTTTTGAAGTAGTAGTGTAGGACAGATGGTACTCACCCAGACCAAGCATATTTAGCAAGTCCCAACCACGGGGAGTCTGACGAAGCAGAGGTCTTGGGGACAACAACAACCTCTTTTCCTCCTTCATAACAAGCCTAGATGTAAAAGGAAATGGATATGAGCATTCCACTAAGTAAAACTGCTGACACATACCTGTCTTTAATGTACCCTCTTACCTTACAAGTATAAATGCGATTGTCATACTGGAGAGAATAGCGACAGCGATGCTTTGCTTCATGGTCGACTCCTTCGTCTAAGTGGTTCATACTGTTCTTACACCCACACCTGACAAATCAACAATGTTAAATATTCATAAAAAGTCATAAAACAATCAATTTAAAGAGGGATAAATACTTACCCACAGCTCAGGCATGAGCTGGAACAGGTGAAATACTCATCAGGGAAAAAGCAGCTGTGAGCCACTACCTCATCTGAGATTTCTCCATTAAAGCGTTCACTCAGGGCCTGCAAAAGTTCATACAGTTAACTATTATTGCTACAAAGATTGCACAACAGACGAACGACAATCTTACATGCAAAGCTTTGTAGATGACAACAGGGGTGCGTGGTGAACGAGTGGCGTTGTTATCCAGGAGTTGCTCCAGTTTATTTATCAGGCCACAGAAGTCGGTGGGGGGGTTCAGGGTCTGTGTGCCCCAGTACTGGACAGAGCTGAAAGCCTCTGGGAACCGAGAGACTTTCTTGAAGCGCTCCAGGAGCAATCTGTCCACCGACTCGGATGACTTTCCTAAAAAACACAATCATCATAAAAACACACCTGTATAATGTTAACAGGCAAGGCAAGCTTATTTGTATAGCACAGTTCATACACCAGGCAACTCAAAAGACATAGTTCCTTCTTATTAGAGATTAGAGGTGCTCCGACAAATAATCTTAGTTTTGGATTGGCCTATACCGGTCACATTGACTTTTTGAAACATTTAATTCCCGTAATAATTAATTTAAGACTTTATATATTTCTTAATTGAATTATTTTGTGACATAAGCCAAAAAGCTATTTACTCTCTGCATGTGTTCAACTGACCTTTGTTAATATTTTTTTCTTATAAATGGGACCGTCTTAAGCTCAGTTTTTTCAACCACTGTGATCTTTGCCTTGATCTGCAGCAATTCTACTCTTATATTGATGATTGCATGCACAAAAATAATCAACATGTTCTGGAATTAAATTAAACATTAGAAAAACGAGATCAGGCTTCATAGTTTATGGTCTTGGTATTCTCTGACCCCGAACCAGTGTTTGTTTTCAAATGTTCACCTTCCAAGAGTAAATACTAAGAGATAATATTTTTCTTCACATTTCTATGAGGGGGCTCAAGGTGCACGCTCCAGTTATGTATTTGGGTATATGCTCCAATTACTGTATACATTATTTGAAGCAGAGTTCAGTATGTTGTCATTTTTTTTACCTGATCCAAGTGTTTTGGTGTGGACAGTCTCATGAAAGATGACGACGGCCGGCCCCAGCATTGACAGTGGCACATCCAATCCACAGCGAGCAGATGTTGCCTTCAGCTCTTTAGCAAAATGTTTCAGGTAAGCCTCAGAGGCGTCTCCCAGAAATTTGAACAGATCATCGTGGAGGCGGTCTGCGTGGGTCCGATAAATGATCAGGTCTGAGATGGCCAGCACCTTCAGCAGGAGACGGGTTCTCTGACCCTGTTTGGAGCTGTTTCCCAGGAGGCCCTCTGTGTCTATCACTACTACTTTATGAATGGGGTCTAATGCTGCCCACACTCCCACAGTGCAAGATTCTTGAGCTGGGGACGTTTTGAACACCTCCCTGCCCATGAAGAACGTGTGGTTGAGTGTGTGGGATTTTCCCTCGCCAGTATTCCCAAATATGGATACCACCTTCATCAGCTGGTCTGGGTTGCAGTTCAAGGTTTTAATAAATGAGCTTTCATCTTTTACCTATGAGAGAATAAAAAGAACAGTTAAACACATTGGAAAAGTCTGTAATTTCTGGAAAAATTGTTTTTTAAAACTTACCTGCATTTCCTCATTTTCATCAACAAGGAGAAAACTGCACACATTTTCCAGAAGTTTTGCCTTTTGAGACTCATCACTGTGTTTGTTTGCTGGTGCAGCAGGTGGCTGTGGAGGTGCCTCGGTGCCTTTTGGTGGGACAGGGAACGCCGTGAGCTGGTGCTTCTTCTTATTGCCTCCACTGTGTGTACGTTTCTGACAGTCTTGGCACAGGTTAATTTTACAGTTTTGGCAGCGTACCACTGATCTCTGCCTTTTGCCATTGTCCCCATTCCCACCATTGCCCTCTTTCCCTTTGCAGTTGTCACAGTATGGGATGTGCCCAGGACCAATCTGAACACGCCCGTGGTTCTTCAGTAGCTCCTGATTATGGAGCTCAAGTTCACAACGCACACACTGCAGGCTTCTGCATTCATCACATTCAAAAGCTGCTTCTTCAGAGCCACCACAAGCGTAACTCTCCTGACATATCAGACTAGTGTTGACACCTTTTTCAGACGATGAGCCATGGCTACTCATCCTTTCTTACAAGGCAAATGTGAAAACAAAGTTAGGCTATGCCACAGAACAGACTAGAGCAGCAGCACCAGGATTATTGTACTCATAAATCAGCAGTATGCAACTACAATGTTTTCAAAGCTACTAAAATAACTTACAATTATTGCATTTTGAATTATTTAATCTGGAAACTATTTTAACACGGTGTAAATAGGCAGCTAGATGATATGACTTTAATGATTTAGCTACAACTGCTATCAGACATCTACAAAAACAATAATTCAGTGCAATGCAATTAGCTTCAATATTAGAATGAGCTTCAATTTATTCTCTTAAATAGTTAAGACACAAAGAAAGAGCGACTGCAAGTAACACACCCAGAGAAAAACAGTCTGTGCAAATGTGCTAACAACGGGCTAGCTAACAACTGACCCTGGACAGATCACTTCACACGGAAAATATTTGGACAATAACGACCAAAATATCTAACCTCCGGCCAATCTGTTTCAATACACTGCGGACACCTTTCTCCAAATATGTTATTCCCAAGCTATAAATATGCTTCTGTAGCAGTTAGCAGCCGCTAGCCCCAGTGATGTCAAGAGAGCTCTGTTACATCAACAAAAACAACTGTGAGTCCAAGTGCAGTGCTCAGATCTCTGAAGCTTCGCGTACAATTAAAAAGAGGTAAAACTCAGACGCAAATGTCCATCAAGTCTTGAGGAAAGTGTAGTGTTTTTAAATCCGTCCGAGCAGTGTCATTGTTTTGTTCTTCTGCCCCCTCCCTCACAGATTTTTGTAGCTACGCTGTGTTGTTGCCAGGTCAGATCAGCTGATCAGATTATTTCCATGCAGGTCAGGGGAGGGTAAAGCTGTTGCATCATGGGAAATGTAGTTTACATGCATCCATGCGTTCTCGTGTGCGTGTGACTGAGCAGCAACAACCATGGATCTACTCAGTCTATCTACACAGGTAATTGTTTGTGGCATTCTTCCCGCAGAGAAATGATGTCAATAATCAAGGTTAACTGATTATAGAAGATTATAATCGTTAACAATAACATTTTCCCTGACCCTCCTTCACTTGTTCGAGATGCATATCATTCACAGCAAGGAACCATTAGCTGTTGTAGGCAAAACAGAGAGATAAATGATGAAAGCCACAAAAACTTTTAAGACTGAGCAAGCGGTAGAACTGACCTGTAACAGTGTCCAAGGTTAGGGCATGAGCTCCTGCCTATCAGTGTAATTATCTAGCTAAATGATAAAGTCTGTATTTGTGGCTCTCGAAGTCTCGGGTAAATATACACATTTTTGGGAACAGTTAACTATAACAATGTAAGAGTGATATTATTTTGATGAGTTATATCTTTGTTAGTTTGGAGCAGTGCAGTGATTGGGTAAAATGGGTCATGTGACGGTGACGTAAGGGAGGAAGGGAAGAGTTGAAAATGGGTTGATAATAAACTGACTGCTGGCTTAAAAGAATCCTGCTCCATCCTGCTGTTCTATTACCTTGGGAGTCATCCTTCTATCACCACGAACTTACACGTTACATTTGGTGGCAGCGGTGTTGGTTATTTTGGTGATTTGGACGTCCGGTGAGTTTTGAGCTCCGGTTGTTGTCTCTCTGTGAACGGCTAGCTGCTAAAGTGCGGTTTTGGAGCTACTACGGATTTTTGCTACGGCTCTTTTTGTCATATATAATTTTTTTTTGCGTGTGGTTGGTGAAGTGCCCTTATCACCATGGATGACAACGTTACAGTGCATGAACTGCAGTCGTCGCCTCCTCGAGGGCTCCCTGTACGGCTGTCGGGGGTTCTAAGTGACTCCACGTTGTCGGCGCGAGGCGCGGTCTCAGGAGCGCTGAAGATAGACCTCCCGCCGCCATTCAAAGGTGATGGCACTGAATCTTTCTCCAGTTGGGCTCGTCGCTTTGAGGTTGCCGTTGAAGCTATGAGTTCACCGGATATGGACTATTCTGCTATGAGATCTGCTATTCTACCTACTAGACTTTCTGATGCTGCATTTTTGCTCTGGGACAGTTTACCCTCAGCAACAAAGAAGGATTATGACACGGTCAAGGTGAAGCTGGGTGTTGTTTTTGGCCCAAAGTACTCCCTGCCCTTTTTCCAAACTCATGTAAATGCTCGTCCTCGTCAGCCCGGGGAGAGCTTGGATGTTTACAGTGCAGATATAACCCGATTGGTGTTGGAGGCTTTTCCGAGGTATGACCACAATGCCATAGAGGGGGAGAAATTTCGTCGTTTTGTGGCTGGTTTGGACCCGTCACTTCAGGCCAAAATACATGAGCAGGGAGCAGAGGACATTGAAGAGGCCCTGCGTGTAGCAAGTCGCTGTGAGAGGGCACGTGTGGCTCTTCAGTTAAACTCTACGGATCACGCATGCAGGGTCACTGGGTCTGCTGACCAGGTGGCAATGGTCAGGCCCAGACCCTCGGAGGATAAGCTCCTTCAGGCAGTAGAACAGCTAACACTCACTGTTGATGGTCTCAGACAGGAAGTTCACCAGTTACATGAGAAACATGGTCTTCTTGCGGACCGTTTCAGACAGAGGGGCTACTACTCCCCTGAGCGTTATGGCAGAGATAGTTCCCGGAGATCCAGTCCTAGCCCCAATGCACACCAGAGATACAGGGAGCAGGACACTGACTGGAAAGGCCACTATCCCTCCTCCCCCAGATCAGGGACCTATGCTAGATATGAGCGTACGGATTATCCTCGCAGTCCCAGCCCAGCGGCGAGGGGACGTAGGGATCCCAGCCCACGTTCAAGACAAAGTGTGAGGTTTCAATCCCCTGAGCGACAAGCACCACTCTCGCAGCCGGGAAACTTCCATTAGCTGATGTTGAGGGGCAAACGCCAGCTACTACGTCCGCGCCCCAGAGCACAAAAGTGGTTTCATCCACAGTTCTTGCTATTGTGGAGGGCATTGAAGTGTGTGCTTTAATTGACTCAGGTTCATTTGTTTCCATTGTTAGTGAAGAGTTTCGTAATTCTCACCCAGCTTTGAGGAAGCGACCAATGACTTTCTCCACTGTCCCTGCTCGCTCTGTGAGTGGTCAGAGTTTGGACATTTTAGGCAAGTTAACGATAGGACTTAGGATGGGACACAAAGTTTGGCAACATGAGTTTGAAGTGCTCAGAGGGGCTTATCAACCAGTTATCTTAGGCTGGGATTTTCTGGTGCAACACCGTGCCTTGCTGGACATTAAAAACAAAGTACTACAGCTTTGGGACATGACAATCCCACTGTTACCAAAACAACATGAAGTGGCCGCATGCTGTAATGTGTCAGTCTTAGTACCCACTAAAATACCAGCTATGAGTGAAACATTAATTTCAGCTTGTGTATCTTCTGCTACTCCTGCCTCGCCAGTACCGACAGACTATTGTGGTGTAATGATGCCCAATACAAACACTGATGTCATTGTGGCGCACACAGTTAGTACTGTCCAGCATGGCACCACTGTGGTTAGAGTGTTGAACACCTCTAGAGAGGATATTGAACTACATCCAGGCCAACATCTGGGTGAATTTCATTCAGTTTCCTCTGTTGACATAGCACCACTTGATGAGGCGTCCTCATTGGCCAATGGGGATTTGTCACCATTAGTGCAGTTAACAAATACACACCTATCACACTCCCAGACCGCAGCATTAAATAATCTTTTAGTGAAGTATTCTGAGGTGTTCAGTTTGAATTCCCAGGATAGGGGCCGCACAGGGGTGATAAGGCACCATATTCGCACAGGTGACGCTATGCCTAGTAAACAAAGAGCATACAGAGTGACTCCTGACCAGAGGGCGGAGATACAAGCACAGGTCAATGAACTTCTGAAAGCTGACATTATTGAGGAGAGCTTTAGTCCATGGGCAGCGCCAGTTGTTTTAGTGCGAAAAAAAAATGGGACATGGCGCTTTTGTTTGGACTATCGCAAACTAAATGCGGTGACAATAAAGGACTCACATCCACTTCCCAGAGTGGACGATGCATTGGACGCTCTATCAGGCTCTGCCTGGTTTTCAACAATGGACTTACAACATGGTTATTGGCAAGTGGAGCTGGAGGAACATGACCGTGAGAAGACAGCTTTCACAACAGGCAGCGGGCTCTATCATTTTAAAGTGATGCCCATGGGCCTCACCAATGCTCCTGCCACATGCCAACGCTTAATGGAGATGGTGCTACGTGGACTCCCTTGGAAGATGTGTCTTGTCTATCTGGACGATGTTCTGATATTTAGTCGCACATTTAGTGAGCACCTCCAGCACTTGGAAGAGGTTTTCTCCAGGTTCAAGTCAAGTGGACTCAAATTGAATTCATCCAAATGCAGTTTTGCCCAGAAGCAGGTGAATTTTTTGGGCCATGTGGTATCAGGAGCGGGGGTACACCCAGACCCACGTAATGTGAGCAGTGTGCAAAGCTGGCCTATCCCACGGACTGCGACAGAGGTGAGGGCTTTTCTTGGTCTTTGTTCGTACTATCGCAAGTTTATAAAAAGTTTTGCACACCACAGTGCACCATTGCATGCCCTCACTGCAAAGAATTCTCCTTTTGCATGGACTACAGACTGCCAAGATGCCTTTGTCTATTTGAAGAGTGCTTTATCAAAGCCTCCAGTCATTGCGTTTCCTGACTTTTCATTGCCATTTGTCCTTTATACAGATGCATCATGCACTGCTGTGGGCGCCGTCCTGGGACAGAAACAAGAGCAGACTGAAAAAGTAGTGGCTTACGCCAGTCATGTCTTGACGAAAGCGGAGAAGAGGTGGTCCACATATGACCGAGAACTTTGGGCTATTGTGTGGGCAGTACGTCATTTCCGGCATTATCTTTACAAGCAGCCATTTGTTATTGTGACGGATCACAAACCACTATTGGGTCTCAGGAAAATCCCTATTGACAGTGATAGGACTGGGAGACGCGCACGTTGGGCTCTTGAACTTGACCCGTTTGAATGGACAGTGGTTTACAAAGAAGGCTACTGTCATTTGAATGCAGATGCTTTGTCGCGCCGCCCAAAGGACCCTCTAGCTGCAGAACCGGCTGTCACAGGTACATTCACTGATACAGACTTATCACATGTGAGTTCAGCAGTGGAGGCTCCGCCCCATTATTCGGACATACAAGGCGTTTCACAGACTGTTGCCTCCACCAGCATGCTGCAGCTCCCGGCAGAGGAGCTCAAAACGGCTCAACAACAGGATCCAGTTTTGTCTGAGGTGATAAACTGGACAAGGAAGGGACACAAACCGCCTTATTGGTGTATGAAAAAGCGCACCCAGGTAGAAAAGGCTCTGTGGCATGAATTCAACAGGCTCTCATTTAATGAGGGACTTCTTTGTCGTAAGGTCTATAATACTGTGACAAAATCAGACATGCATCAAATTGTTGTTCCGCAGGCATGTCAGAACACAATTTTGGAATTGCTTCATGGTAATCCAGTAGCAGGTCACATGTCCCCAGACAAAGTGGTCAAACGTGCGCAGCAGTTTTGTTATTGGCCTTTTATGTTGCGGGATATAAAACAAATGTGTAACAAATGTGTTCCTTGTGATGCTAGACGCAGCCCTGTTCCTCAGCAGAGGGCTCCCATGAAAACCATTGTTGCCACAGAGCCATTTCAGAAAGTCGCTGCAGATATCCTTGAACTCCCTATTACTACTCGTGGCAACAGGTATGTGCTGGTGGTACAGGACTATTTTTCTAAATATGTCAACCTTTATGCAATATTAGACCAGCGAGCTGTCACAGTTGCCAAGTGTTTATTTGAAAACTATATATGTGAACATGGCATTCCCCAAGTGTTGCATACCGACCAAGGCAGACAGTTTGAGTCAGATATAGTTAAAGACCTTTGTCAAATGATGGGCGTACAAAAAACACGCACGAGTGCTTACCATCCACAATGTGATGGCATGATTGAGAGGTTTAACAGGACTCTCATTGACCAATTGGCTAAGACTCTGCTACAACAGTCAGGTGAATGGGATGACTGTCTTAATCAAGTAGCATTAGCCTATAATACCACTCCCCACTCCACTACTGGCTTTACTCCATTTTTTCTTACACATGGTTTTGAAGCGAGGATGCCCGCTAATCTGTTACTTGACAACAGCGTGCCTCTTTCTGCACGAAACTCTCCTACGGAGTATGCAGAGAGGTTAACGCAGAAACTTGAAACCGCTTTCATCACTGCAGTGAACAATAGGAATGATGCTTCACACAAACAGAAAGTGCAGTATGATAAACGTGTTAAACATGTTCCATATGTGCCTGGCGCCCTCGTGTGGTTAAATGATCCTACAAAGTCTAAGCAAAAACTGGCTCCTCATTGGAAAGGTCCATTTGTGGTTCAGGAGTGTCTAGGTGGTTTAGAAGAGCAGACGCAGGGTGTGACCTATAAGATTCGTTATTTGTTAGATGATTCGAGTCGCTCCCAAATTGTTCACTATAATCGGCTCAGATCTTACAGAGCTCCAGTTCCAGAAAGCAATGTCAGGGCCCCTGTTCCGACTGTACCTACACAGCCCGGGCTGCCTGCATTGAATGCTTTGTCTGGTGCTTTGCCTTATTCGTTCTCTCAGGGCATGGGTAATAGTGACATGTGCAGAGATGTTACTCCGCCGGTAACTTTATCTGCGGCCTCGCCCCAGTCCGAGCCTCTGCTCCTTGTTCCTGTGGACTCCCAGGGTTCTCCCAATGTTCCTCCTGTGTGTGACGGTATGAGTACGTTTTCACGGCCCAGCCGGCGTACTGTTAGGCCACCTGCTTACCTCAGGGATTATGTTACTGAGTGATTTTATGTTATATTTGATTTTTTTTTATTAACCTGTTGTCTGAAACGGGGACGTTTCTTTTGTGGGAGGGGGAGTAATGTAAGAGTGATATTATTTTGATGAGTTATATCTTTGTTAGTTTGGAGCAGTGCAGTGATTGGGTAAAATGGGTCATGTGACGGTGACGTAAGGGAGGAAGGGAAGAGTTGAAAATGGGTTGATAATAAACTGACTGCTGGCTTAAAAGAATCCTGCTCCATCCTGCTGTTCTATTACCTTGGGAGTCATCCTTCTATCACCACGAACTTACACGTTACAACAACATCGTGGTAGGTTGGTGGTTCTTATTTTTTTCCTTTTAATAGGCATACATCAATAAACAAGCAGGCTGTGTTATAAGACTTATAACAGTCTATGGTTATTATGCCAAACATTTGTCCTTCTTCCATGTTCTGATAGTCTTCATTCAGGAAGATGTAAAGAGGATTATTATCACGGAGCATCGCACTGAGGACAGAATTAAACAGGCTTTGTTGTGCTAATTATCACTTCAAAGTATCAGCAGGTTACCATTTGTCCGCAGTAACTCACACTTAAGCTTTTCCCTCCATTTTTACTGTCGCTAGTGACAATTAAACTCAAAATTGCATTCTACTAATCTTTCTATTAACCTAAAGACTAATTCACTGTAAACAGTAAAACAAACGGAGCAGGACAGGGTACAACAAAGGCACACACACATACAAGCACTGAATCAGCAACAAACATTAAAAACAAAGCAAAAGAGAGGTGCTTTCAAAGCATTCCAACGTACAAGCTCCACATCCCACATATATAGTATTTACAGTTATGTTTACAGTCTTCAATTGTCCAACTACTAATCAGATAATATTTTTTTGAGACCGCGGTGAGCTAAATTTTTTAAACACTTGACAATACTCTGCTTTTTACTTTTTCCTCCGGCCAGTTTGTTCTTGATGGCAGCATATATTGCACAGTCAAAAACATCTTTCAGATGGTGCTGTGTCAACGAAGAGCACTCCACATAGTCATGAGCCTGAATTCTCTTGGCGAGTTTTGTGGCCTGTTTGAAGTGCACTGGTGCTGTATTCCTCTCCTTCAGATGAAGAAGTACATCAACACTGCTGCAAAGGTCAGACTGTGTCCCCACCAGGATGATGGGAGACGTGACGTTACCACAGCGAATCTGCGGAATCCATTTTGTAGCAATGTTGTGGAAGGACACTGGGTGGACCAGGCTGAAGCAGAGGATGAAGACATCCACGTGGGCATAGCACAAGGAGCGAAGGTGACCAAACTCATCCTGAGGAGTAAGAATTTTTACATCACAAAATGCCAATAGTGTTCCCATTTTTATATGTAACTTATTTGAACGTTTACCTGACCCGCTGTATCAATGAGTTTGATACGAGTTGGAGTTCCATTAACATGAACAAGGCCTGAGCAAAGACATAGCAATTAGGACTACATAGGCATGACATATAAATAAAAGAAAAGGAGATGACTCTGCACAGCTTTTAGCTCCCAAGAGTTTTTAATGTTATCACCAAAAGATCTTGTGGTGATAACATTAAAAACTCTTGGGAGCTAAAAGCTGTGCAGAGTCATCTCCTTTTCTTTTCATGTTTTCTATTATCGACTTTTTTTGCACGCTGCTCAGTATTGGATGTGCGCGTCAACCCCTCTTTCTCTATGACATATAAATAAGTAATTAATCAAATTAATACATTTACTACTCACCGGTGAATACATCGAAGGCGGTTTGTCTGTAATCACTGTTGTATCCATTGAAGATGTAGCTAATGATCATGCTGGTTTTTCCCACTGCTCCATCTCCAAGCAGCATGCAACTCACCTCTTCCCTCTGTCTGTGTTGCCACTCCTGTCTTTGATAACATTGTGCCATTTTTGTTGCTTTTATGTATCGCTAAATAGCAGTGTTACCATCCCGTGCTGAGAGTTAAAGAAGTGTATGCAGTAGTCCCAGTGTAAAGATGCCTCTCTCCACAGTCCTGTTGTTACAGTAAACCGGGAACCAATTTGAAAGAACAAAGACATCCAATCAGATCAATGAGAAGTTGGCTTCCTTTCTGATGCACATTTACATAGTCACACCCCCTTTACACCTCTGTGTCTGAACCAGAGGAAGGAACTTAAAACAAAAAATGTCACTAATTGTATCGATATTCTTTTGTTTTGTTTACTATGCAAAGAAACGTTAAAAAAAATTACAAAACGGTTCTCAAAAGTATTTAGAATTAGGTAATAGTCAATTCTAAAAACTAGCATAAAAACTAGATATTCAATAAAGCATAAGCATCAATACAATATAATATTAAATTGATATTTCCTGAGCCATTTTGAATTGATTTGAACCGTATACAAATAATTAAAAAGGTTTTGCATCATAAAATGTACTGTTAATATGAGCATTTTGAAATCAAGGTTCAAGGTTCAACTGTATTGTGCCCAGAGGGACATTTATTTTCGGCTCACAGTGTTGTTGGACACAGGCAAATATCTTAATGTTGTGATTGTCTTGTAAGAAGTCTGCACGTTTTCAATTTAAGACTTTGCCATAATATTGCTCAGTCCTATGGTGCCAGTATACACATACACACCGTATACAGTGGTATCAGTATACACATACACACAGTATACAGTGGTATCAGTATACACATACACACCGTATACAGTATCAGTATACACATACACACAGTATACAGTGGTACCAGTATACACATACACACCGTATACAGTGGTACCAGTATACACATACACACCGTATACAGTGGTACCAGTATACACATACACATCGTATACAGTGGTACCAGTATACACATACAAATAGCAGTAAAGGATTGCAGTGGTATAAAATATTGAGTTTATTCATTGGTATCAATTTTTAGCTGTATATTGTGATGTTGTGACAACACTAGTGACACAAATATTGGACTATTTTACCACAAAATGTGGTACCTCTCCTGCTGACACATAGAGGGCAGTGTAACTCTAACACCAAAATCAACTTTCCAGTTTTGTTTTTGTTGTTCTCCCCAAAAAGCAACACGGTTGACCTTTTAAAAATTAGAAAAAAAAATAGGTTGAAGTAGAATTGAGATGGAGGTATAAAGGTAAAGCTGGAGTACACAATTTTTGTTTCATGATTACATATAGTATGTTCCAATGGAACGAGTCTTACATTATATGAATAAATTAAACCAACAAACAAGCTGTCTTTTTATTATTAGAAAACATGTTCTCTTTTACATACTGAGAGTTGACTGGTTTATTGGAGTACTGGGAGCACCCCTCTCTTTTTCACTTTTCTGTCTGAATAAGCTGCTCTAAAAGTTTGATAGTTAATATTTTGTGGTTTCAAAGTTATCTACCCCAGGCTTTGATAGACACAGTATGTTCATTTGTCCTTCTTCAGACAAATGAGATCCCTATTCCATTTTGTATGTAACAAAATATGGTAATCTACTGATAAAATAATTTCTATAACCAAAATTTTACTTACTACTCTAGCGTTGGGGACAAGTCAAAGAGCTTTTCTGGTTTTATGCATTGACAATAAAAAAGTCCTCCTCCAGACAGCTGTGAATTGAAATTATTGAATTGTATGTGCGCTGTAGTCTACTTCGCCGTCTTTATTGTCTTATGTATTCTTGAACTTGCTGCTCATTGTCTGTTCCCCACATATCAAATACTTAAAAGTACTTGCTGCATTTGCAGCAAGTACTGTGTTGCTGCAAATGCATGACAGAAGCGGGCCTTATCAGAGAGGTCCTGCAGGAAACTCTGTGAGCATTGTGTTGTGAGCTTTGTGTTTCCTGTTTGTCGTCCGTACAAATTTAACCGCTCTCCTCTTTTTATAATCTCCTCTCTTTCCTACCAGCTGCAGTGCCACTTACTCCCCATGGAAAACTGACAACATCTGGCCCCCTCCCTGGACCCCGGCCCTGCTCCCAGGCTGCACCTCCAACAGCTGCGAGTCAAAGCACTGTTCCTTAATCCAAGGTAAAGGCCAAACACAGGAAAATGTCTTAAAATATCCCAATATGCAATCATATGTTTCCTGTTGAAGCCGCTTTGAAATGGTGGGTTACTAGTGTAAGCTTGCCTTTTACACTGGTACCGGATCTATCCAGCAGAGGGCAGAAGCGCACAGAGACGTGACAGAGTGGCAGCTGTCTGGCCTTCAGAGGGGAGGGGGTATCTATTACAGTAAACATGTTTTGTTTTGGTTTTCTCACTCTTAGTCCAACTGCTTCACATGACTAGACATGCTGAAACACTGGCATACATTTACATTAGTAATCTGCTTAGTAAGGGTGCATGGTTTAGGGCAGACCTAAATTACCCCCAAAACCATTCAAACATGTTTCTTTTTATAGATGTCCAAAATCAGAATATGTTTCAGGCACAAAATCTTTTCCATAATTCAAAGAAAAATACTATTAAAACATATAGACTTTATGTGATGGAAATTGTATTAATCTATCTTAATTATCAACACCCCCTTTTTTACTTTCTGTTTGCGAGCTTGTTGTCTTTCAGTCTCCTCCATCTTATGTAATGTTGTGAGGGTGTGACAAAAAGAGTTCCTCTGACTGGATAAGGCAAAGGGCAAGACCAAGAGTTAGTTTATGCACAGATGTGAATTGTTGTGTTATTTAGTTTAGGAATATGGTATTATAAAATTAAATACTCATGAAGCATTACCAAGCTGTTGTAAAACTATATATGTCTTTGCGCACTGGTCTCTATGAACACTTCTAAAACTATGTTGATAGATTGGAGAAAAACCGTAGGGTATAAATATCTTTTTGACTCATTGCTCTTTGAGAGTGCTTTTCAACCAGTGGGCCGTGGCAAGTTGTTGTGCCTTGGATCTTATATCACCATGTGGTCATAATAATGTGAGAAGAGTATTAATAATTGTATTCTGTACCAGTTTCAGCATGGGATTGTTTTGAATGAAAAAGGTGAGTCACGGCTCAAAAAAGTTGGGGAACACTGATCTAGCACTTGATATCTTGATACTTATGTGCTGCTGCCACTTCTGGTTAAATAAATCAGGTTGAATAAATGGCAAAAAATAAACACATGAAAAGATAAATAGTGCAAAGTTTTATCATATAGGGCAGGATTAGTAGATAAAGTGACATTCAGTGGACATTGAAATTATGAAATACTGAAATTGCTTTATTGCACATTGATTTCAGTATTCAACAAATCAGACAAAGTGAAGGGCAAATGGGAGCTAAAACTGTACACAAATAGTTTAAGACGGCTCAAAAAAGTTGGGGAACACTGATCTAGCACTTGATATCTTGATACTTATGTGCTGCTGCCACTTCTGGTTAAATAAATCAGGTTGAATAAATGGCAAAAAATAAACACATGAAAAGATAAATAATCCAATTCAAGACACAAGAAAATTCTGACCAGTGGTGGAGTACAGAGGTTCAAGCCTGTCGTTCCAGCTGTGATGATTGGGATAAATTACTTTGGGAACCACATCTAAGCCAATGATTCACAATGAATAGAAGTTAGAAAGTAGACATTTTATATGCGCATTTCACAGAACATAGTCACACAACAAACTTTACAACTTTAGTGAACACACACATAGATGACAGAAGCGGTAACGCCACACAGGGCTCGCTGAGTTTCACCGCCCTTTGTCTGTATGTACTGTAGTGGTTGGGAAACGAGAGCACTTGGAAGAAACTTACACAGACATTGGGAGAACATGCAAACTCCACCCAGAACGGTGATGCACAGGAGTCAAGTCCAAAGCCAAAGCTTGCAGAGAGGCAACGGTTCTAACCACTGGGCTACCACTGCAAAACATGAATAAATACATCTATAAAATCTATACATTGTCTATACATTTGACAATTGACTATTGAATGATGATGCACTGATTCTTGCTGGTAAATAGAGGAAGGATGCACTACGAATATCATTTTCCTTGTCATTCTTGACCACCATTTTGAAGTGAGAACAACCAGATAATCAGGTATATCAAATATTACTCAATTTATTAACCAGTGTTACTGGTAAAACTCAATAAGTGCTATAACTGTAACCATCAGATGGACCCGTAAACAAAACAGTCAGTTTGCTCGACATTATAAATCAATTTAATTATTTAACTTACTCAATTGTATAATAAAGTCAGTTATGAGAAAGTCACTTGGTTTGTTAATTTATACATGGGGCGCACCGGAATACAAGGTGTACTGTTAAAATGTAAGGCTTTTATCAGTGGAAAATGTGGTTTCTAGATGTATTGTAATATTAAAGTTATCAGGTAAGATAAAAGTGCAAAGTTTTATCATATAGGGCAGGATTAGTAGATAAAGTGACATTCAGTGGACATTGAAATTATGAAATACTGAAATTGCTTTATTGCACATTGATTTCAGTATTCAACAAATCAGACAAAGTGAAGGGCAAATGGGAGCTAAAACTGTACACAAATAGTTTAAGACCCCAAGAACATCAGAGTCATGTCAGAAATATGACTTCTATAAACAAAGTTGATATCAATCACACCAAAATCATTTTCAAAAGGTTTTTACTGTTTTATTGCAGTAACAAACACAGAGTCACTACATTATGTCCAGGGCGTAATACAATTAGACCACTTTGCGAGAAACAAGTAAGTAGCGTCCTTCGTTTACAGAAAATAATTAGACATCAAATATGATGCTGACTTATCATTATATCAAAAATATATCAATGAGAACCAAGAAACCATATCCATAAAAAAAACAACCATGAAAAATACTAAATAATAATTAGAACAAATATACATTAAAATCAAATCAAATAACAATAAGGGCTATCTTTCTATTCCTGAAAGGAATTTCCATCAAATACATCCTTATAATATTGCAAGAAGGGTTCCCACATGACTTGAAACTTCTGGTTCTGAACAGAACATCTAACACTTTCAAGCCGGAGAAAAGACATTGTATCACTGACCCAACGTGAATGTTTTGGAGGTACGGATGCCTTCCAGTTCGTCAGTATTAAACGGCGTGCCAGGAGTGTGGAGAATGCTATCAACCGTGCTTGGGCTTTTGAAACAGTTGTCCTGTGTACCACTCGGAATATTGTGGTGATAGGATCCGCTTCAATCCTTTTCTAACAAATAATAGTGAATGTATTAAAGATTTCCGACCACAATGTGTGTAAATTTGGCCAAACATATGAGCCAGCGAGGCAGGGGCCTGATGACAGCGTGTGCATACAGGATATATGTTTGGATATATTCTTGCCAACCTAGTCCTAGACAAATGCAGACGATGGAATACCTTGAATTGTATCAGTCTATGGCGCACACAGAATGATGACGTATATATATTATTTATAGACCTCTGCCAAACTTCGTCTGTTATTGCAATGCTCCTCCCAGTTGGATTTAAGAGAAAGAAGTGACACAGTGTTAGTGGCTTGGATAAATCTATAGAGCTGCGATACACCACATACACCCCGGAGCCCAAGCCCCAGGCATTCCAATCACATCAAAATTATGTTAGACCAATACCACCTAAATTGTTTTTATCTGAAAATTCTGAAGTTAGTTCGTCATTTGCCTGCAGGCTCTAGAGCTGGCTTCAGCGGGTGAGTTAAGGTCACTATACTGTCTTGTCTCATGAAGCAGACTGGCCAGAAATCCTTTAAAAAATGGCTTGCAGCATTTGCATAATGTTTGTGGCATAATGTCCCCTTAAGTCGATATGGTGAAGGCTCTTAAGAGAGGGGATTAAGCATTGGCATGGATCACTCTCTGGACCCCACATAAGCGACTCTCCGTCCCAGCCCCTATAGGTGTAAGAGGGGGGTTTGTACGGGACATCTGTACATGCTGCCATGTTAACATTTGATGTCAATTAAAGGTCAGGAAGTGCTTATATGAACTGCAAACCATCAACAACCAACGAATATTCAAATGTAATCGTAGAATAACCTATTGAACTTTGGACCTCGACACAAATGAAAAGATTTTGAAGAACTTAAATCAGCATCGAAAGAAATCCAGAGAAAGTGCAGGGGATCAGACTCTTGGGGAGAGTCCTTTTCCTGATTGGAATTCTCTCAAGGCTTTTTACATTTGTACCGTTCAAACATGCTTTTATCTTTTTAATTTCCTCTCTCCTTATTTCATATAATTGCAGTTATTTTAGCGGGCAGTTTTTGCATAATCAGGTCTCTGCCTTTTGTGGATCAACATCAATAATCACTCTTAAATTCATGATGTTTGTGTGATTTGGATATGAATCGGATTATAAATCAGGATGTCCCATTTTCTAAATAAAGCCGTGGCATTTTTGGGCTTTTGTTGGCCTTAAAATATCGCTGTCAATATAGTTACTCTTGTTCCATTAAACCCCAGCAGGAGGTCTGGTGGGACTAATCCGACATTGCCCTCCCGAAGTGGGAGACGAGGGGGCCTGCTATAGCAACCTCACCCTTAACCTATGTCCTCTGATGTCTGCCCCATAGACATTAATACAAATACATTAAAAATGTGATTATTAAATTGTTCCTCAACAGATTTTTATCTGTAATGACTATGGGATTATTGTGAAAAAAAAAAGGATTAATGTTTTAATACATTTAGACAAATCACATGACTATCTATGAATATCAATCGCTCTTTGTTGCTTCATGAAAAATACAGACTTCTTGAATATCGTGGCTATGAGCTATTTGTTTGTACATCTTGTTCCTAAAAACAGAGTAATTGGGTGTCTACAAAGGTGTGGTTGCATAGATATTTGGGAATCGACCTACTTTTAATTTAATTGTCTCAGCACGACTCTTAAGTATAACGTCTTTGGAAGTGCAATGAAGTTTCATAGTGTCATAGAAGAATAGGCATAAATAATATTTGACAATAATCACCTGACTGGAACAATATTCACTCCACACACATATTTGGTGTTGCTGCTTTTAAGTAAACTGGAGGACAAAATTATTATCTCTGTAGAAATTGTAGT